GTCCGGAAAAGGAGCCATGTTCACTGGACCTCACTGCGTCATCTGCTCACAGCCTTCGATACAATCAAACAAGGAGGCGTGAGCGAGCCGCCCGCGTCACCGCGGCTTGTAAATCCAGTAAATGTGTTTAGGAATTTAGTCTAAATTTAAAAAAAAAATAAATTGAATAAAATAAAACAGAATTTTACATTGAGATATGTATTTTTTGTTGCTTAATCGTTTGCGATATTACATTTTTTTGAAAGACGAATACCTTTGTGAATTTCATTTTGCTGCGTTTAAACAGCCAAATTCCGAAATATATAGTATGCCAGTATGCTATACCTATTTAAATATACAGTATACTTTATATATGACTTTCAGGTTTTTGTCAGGTTTTTATGTGGCAGAGCCCACATAAAGTACGGAAGACCTAAACCTAAAATAAGACTGAAATAAATTAATCACTAAATAAACAATGTTACTAAATGCTGTGAAAATAAGATTAAATTGGGGAAATTATTTCATTAAATGTCTGACCCACCATCCAAAGAGAACGACTACTGCAATTGCTGCAGGAGCACTAAACTAGTGTTTACCAAACAATTAAATTAAGTTCACACTGCAATAACTTATCCACCATGGTGGGTGTTTATGTTTTTCATTACCAAACTGTAATAATTGATTTAAGATATATTTGAAGTCAATAACAATGGAATCAATAAACCTTGAAGCCTATCCATAATGAACACTTTTAAAAGTAAATAAAAAAATGGAGAATTTTATTAATATTTTATAAATAAATAAGTAGACAATTAGATAATAAATACAGAAGCAACTTCTATATAATTTATAATTTGAATCAATACTGTGGTCTTTCAGTTTGACAGTTACGGTATTCCATACAGGTAAGATAAGATAACTCTTTATTGTCATTGCACAGTCATACATAGTACAGTAGTACAATGAAATTGGAAAAACTGTCCTACGTCGGCACTACATATAACACAACACGACACGATATGACACATCACAACGCAACAAACAACACATATTAACTTAGTATAAAAAAGAAGAATAAGTGTATGTGTATTGCACACTGTTATTATTAGTGATAGGATTTCCGGCTCTTTTTAGAGATCCGGCTCTTTCGGTTCGGCTCACTAAAAAGAGCCGGCTCTTTCGGCTCCGAACCGGCTCTTCAGGTTGTTTTGTTGCTTTAATTAATTTATTATTAACAATAATATAAAATTATGCACAAAAGGAATTACTAACGTAAAAAAAAGTGGTTTTATTTATATATGTTTATATATAAATATATGCGGTGGCCCCTAGAGACAAAACACGTACAAACTCCAAAACACATTTCTAGCATGAACTGAACTTCCAAAGCAGAGCTACTAGATCACTTAAATTACACAATTGAAAGCATGTGTGTATTGTTTGTGTATTTATACACAGGCACTCATATATATTCAAATAATTTAAAAAAAAGTTCATTTACCTGTTATTACCACACACCAAATCCGGTCGTTGGTACTTGCTTGCTTGTGTAGCCACAAGATAACAAAGGCTCAACACTGCGCCCGGCATCCTGGAGCACTTCTGTTGTCTTTTGTACGTGTTTTGAGTTTTTATGTGCTTCTGAGTTTTTACGTGCTTCTGAGTTTTTACATGCTTCGGTGTTTTTACGTGTTTTGGAGTTTGTACGTGTTTTTACGTGTTTTGGAGTTTGTACATGCTTCAGAGTTCGTACGTGATTTGAAGTTTGTATGTGCTTTGTCTCTAGGGGCCACCGTAAATATACTTTTATTTATTCACTCCACATAAAATGTAATAAATAAATCATATAATACAAAAATCAACTATTCACATTTCAACTTTTAACTATTTAAATTTTCAGCTTTTTCCTTTTACAAATTTAAAGTGAAAACAACACAAAACACTGCAAACCACAACACAATTAAATATAAATTATAATATGAAAACAAACAGAAGATGCACATTCTCTGTCATATGGACCTGCATGAATAAACTTTCTGAATCCTTTATCATCTGCAACCGAAAATAGTTGTGGATGATTACTATATCTTTCTTATGTTGTTGTCCCTGCCTCTCTTTCTCTCTCTCTGTCTCTGTTCCTGTGCTACTGAGTGTAACTACCGCCCCTCCCCCCTCTGCCCAGCGTAAAGCACAAGGCTCGCGTGCAGAGTGAAGCGGGAAAAAAGTGCGAGAGAGAGGCTGAGAGAAAGAAAAAAAAAAAAAAAAACCCCACGTGACGGCTCGCGATAAGGAGCCGGCTCGCGTCGTTCACGTCAAAGACCCGGCTCTAAGAGCCATTTCGTTCGCGAACGACCCATCACTAGTTATTATTGCACATTAATTATTATTGCACCTTGTTATAAATATAAATATTATTGTTATCGTTTTAAACATTGTTACCTCCCCCTAAAAAGTCCAGGGAGGTATCCAGTCAGGTCAGCTATTTACACTGATCAGGGCTATTGCCCTGTTGTAAAAGCTGTCCTTGAGTCTATTTGTTCGGGACCTCAGCAGCCTGAACCTCCTGCCAGACGGCAGCAGCTTAAACACCCGGTGTCCTGGGTGTGTGCAGTCCCGTAGGATGCTGCGTGCCCTCTTGAGACAGCGAGTGCTGTACAGGTCCTTCAGGGAGGGAAGAGGATGTCCAATGATTTTTTGGGCCATGTTGATGACCCTCTGGAGTGCCTCTCTGTGTGCTGTGGTGCAGCTGTAGAACCACACACCGATGCAGTACGTCAGCACACTTTCAATGGAGCAGCGGTAGAAGACGGTCAGCAGCTCCTTCTTCAGGTCCATTTTTCTGAGGATTCTCAGAAAGTGGAGACGCTGTTGGGCCTTCTTTAAGACCGCAGAGGTGTTAGAGCTCCATTGGAGGTCTGTGTCTATGTGCACACCCAGAAACTTGAAACTGGAGACCCTTTCCACGCACTCCCCGTTGATGCTGACAGGCTGCAGCTCGGACTTCCTCCTTCTGAAGTCAACTACCAGTTCTTTTGTTTTGGTGGTATTGAGGTCCAGGTTGTTATCTGCACACCAATCTGACAGCCTCTGAACTTCAGCTCTGTATGCACTCTCATCTCCCCCTGAGATGAGCCCCACCACGGTGGTATCATCTGCAAACTTGATGACTGTGTTGTCTGGGTGGGAACTAACACAGTCATGTGTGTACAGAGTGTACAGTAGGGGACTCAGTACACAGCCTTGTGGAGAGCCGATGTTGAGGCTGAGGGCTGAGGAAAGATGAGGCCCCACTCTAACTCTCTGTACACGGTCTGAGAGGAAGTCTCTGATCCAGCGGCAGGTGGTGGAAGGAAGTCCAATTTCCAGCAGTTTAACTATTAGTCTGTCCGGGAGTATTGAAAGCAGAGCTAAAGTCAACAAAGAGCAGCCTGGCGTAACGGCCCTGCACTTCCAGGTGAGAGATGGTGGTGTGGAGCGTTGTAGCAATGGCATCTTCAGTTGATCTGTTAGCTCTGTATGCAAACTGGAGCAGGTCGAGTGTGGGTGGCAAGCAGGACATGATGTGACGTCGGACCAGTTTCTCGAAGCACTTCATTATAACAGGTGTTAGAGCAACTGGTCGGTAGTCGTTGAGGCTGCTAATGTTAGTACGCTTTGGCAGTGGGACAATTGTGGCTGACTTTAGGCACGGCGGGATGCAGGACTGGGACAGTGAAGTGTTGAAGATCTTAGTGAAGACCCCAGCCAGCTGGTCTGCACAATCTTTTAGGACCTTTGCGGTTACCCCATCTGGTCCGGTGGCCTTCCTGGGGTTCACTGCCCTCAGTGTGCGCCTCACCTCATATTCCTGCACTATGAGGCTTGGGCTGCTGCTGTCCGATGTTTTTGCTGCTGCTGCCTCTGGTCCCTTCACCTCAAAGCGTGCGAAGAAGTGGTTCAGCTCCTCCGCAAGCTCCGCGTTACCCTCAGTCAACGTGGTATTGCCAGGTTTGTAGTTGGTTAAGTGCTGAACTCCCTGCCATACCTGTCGTGAGTTTTTGGTGCTGAAGTGGTCTTCGATCCTTCTCTTGTACGCTGCCTTGGCCTCTCTGATGCCTCTTTTCAACTCAGATCTGGCTGCACTGTACTGCATACCATCACCGGATCTAAAAGCGGTGTCACGTTGCTTCAGCAGGACCTGGACCTCTTTAGTCATCCAGGGTTTCTGGTTGGAATACACCCGGAGACGTTTGTCCACAGTGACACTGTTGACACAGAAGTTAATATATGAGAGCACTGATGTTGTGTGCTCTTCAAGGTCCTGATGTTCGAACACGCTCCAGTCCGTGTTTTCAAAACAGTCCTGCAGCTGATGTGATGCACCTTCTGGCCAGGGGGCTCTTCTCCTAATGGGAGTGTATGCAGGGATCAACAGCATGGACATGTGGTCTGACAAACCTAGATGTGGTAGAGGGGTTGCTCTGTAGCCTTTTTGGATGTTGCTGCAGGCTTTATCCAATGTGTTTTCCCCCCTCGTTGCACATTTAATATGCTGTTTAAATCTGGGGAATACTGACCTTAAATCAGCATGGTTGAAGTCCCCAGCTATAATGTGCACTGCGTTTGGATGGGAGTTCTGCTGGTTGCTTATTGTCTTGTGCAGCTCCTCCATGGCAAAGTTAGGTATTAGGAGGATAGTGTGTTACTAAATTTAGCGAAGCTCTGTGGTTTAGATACATAATATGAAAATACTAAATGAAGTACCTAAAAATAAATACATTTTAACTAAATTAATCGCCAAACGTTACACGTTCTCCATGCTTCTCAGTTGGTTTGCGGTTGCTATGGAAAATGTCCACAGCAACGGTGTCATTGGGGGCGGAGACTGGTAAGCGTCATCCACAATAAAAGATGATGGACAGTCGTGTCCACCAATTAATGTTCGGTCTTGGTACATCTGACCAATGAAAACGTACAAAAAATGTAGCCGTAGTTAGAGAGTGCGAGGACAGTATCAAGTACCCAAACCTTTATGAGAAAGGCAGCGAGAAAAGACTAATGGTAAGGCACACAGAAACGTATACGGCTACACAGTGAGCCGGTGATATTATATCAGTTAGAGTTTTGTACATTCACAAGGTAAATATTTTATGAAGCTCCCATCTTCTTCTAGCTTCTAAGTAACGGGAACGCTAGCTGTTTTGCTACCAGCTGTGTTGTGTCTTGCATCTCAGCATCACAGTCCGTCTCTTTCTGTCTGACAGCGGTCCACAATGGAGCTAACATTACATTTCCCGGACGACGCACAATTGTCATTATTAAGACTACCAAATGTTTGCCTTTTATAAAGCTTCTGTCACGGAACCCTCGATTAAAGCCTAGTTACACCGAGCAATAGCATTAGCATGTTCTTGATGTCTTTGTAGATCCAGCATGTGGAGCCAGTCATTCCAATAACATGGACAAGTACGAAAAGGTGAAGAAAATTGGGGAAGGTTCATTTGGAAAGGCTATCCTGGTCAAATCCAAAGATCATGGACACCAATATGTCATTAAGGAGATTGGCATATCTGGAGTAAGCTTCTGTGCATATCTTTTACACAAGCTGTCATGGTCCTGGGCCATGTGGGCCCAGTATTCTTAGCTTTCATGTATTTTTGTATTTTGTTCTTTATTTAGGCCATGCTTCCTGGGTTGATCTGTTACGTTGTTCCTTATGTGTTTTCCCTTCGTGACTCTTACCCCCTGTGTGCCCCTCTGTGTATTTATGAGCCCTCGTCTCTCTTTGTGCTTTATTCTATGTTTTCCCCAGCCCGTTATGTCTGCGTTCTCCCCGTGCTCTCTCTCCTCCTGTTTGAACCTCTGTGTACTTCCTGCTTTATTTTGCCCATCTCCCATCAGTGTTACGTTCACTCCTGCCGTGTCTTGTTATGATTATCAGTGTCACCTGTGTTCCCCGTGTGCATCCACTTCCCCTGATCATCCCTCATGTGTATTTAGTCTCTGTGTTTCGTACAGTCTGTGTCGCGTCGTCTGTGTTCCCACCCTCCGTGTTTCCATGCCCGGTCTATTGTATTCCAAGTCATAGCCTTACCTTGGTTTATTCCCAGTTTAGGTTTCTGTTTAGTTATTGCTCTTGTGCTGCCCTTATTCTGGTTTGCTTCTTTTGTATCCATCAGCCACAATAAAAGGTTCGCTTTTTGTTTAAGTTCACTTCCGTGTCACTCGTGTCTGCACCTGAGTCCTCCACGCACTCTCCACACGGTCTGTCACAGCGGACCGTGACACAAGCTTGGCATGTTCTTTTCAGCGTGCGCTTCATCTCGTTACCCTCCTCTTCATTACTTTGACAGATGTCCAGCAAAGAGAGGCAGGAATCTCGGAAGGAAGTTGCTGTTCTTGCCAACATGAGTCATCCAAACATCGTCCAGTATAAGGAATCTTTTGAAGGTATTAATGCCATTCAAATAGCTCATCTGTTTATGTGAAGAAACTATTATCAAATGTGCACTGTGTGATAACTACATACTATAAGTTTTTTTTATTTTATTTGTATTTTTTTCCCAGAGGGTGGCTGCCTGTATATTGTGATGGACTACTGCGAGGGTGGAGACCTATTCAAAAAGATCAACTCTCAGAAAGGGGTACTGTTCTCAGAAGCGCAAGTAAGCCAGCAACTACTCAAGGCAGTCACTGTGCAAACAGTATACAGATATTTGGTTAAACTGATCACAATACATATGGTTTACTGTAGTCTCCCTTTTTGAGATCCTAGATTGGTTTGTGCAGATCTGCCTAGCGCTCAAGCATGTGCACGATCGAAAAATTCTCCACAGAGACATAAAATCACAGGTATTGTTTCATAAATCACAAGATTCCCTTTAAGTGATAAGTTGTTTGTTTGCATGTATTGGATTATTTACATGTGTTCTCATAATGCTTGTGTAGAACATCTTTTTGACAAAAGATGGAACAGTTCAGCTTGGAGACTTTGGAATTGCAAGGGTGCTGAACAGGTATGCACACTGTTGTCTAAATAGCCCTGCAGTTTTTCATTAAGCATAGATTCCAGACTAAAAGTTGAAGAACACTTTGCATTTCTGGTAATAAGACATTCTGTTTTACTATATTTAAAAAATATTATAGTTTATTTTGTTGAAGTTTGTTATTTGTACACTTTTTAACTGTTCTTACACAGAAATATATTTTGGTTAAATCAAATATGTCTGATCTTATAATGTATTACGTGTTTTATGTATTTATACATTATGTTCTGAGGTTCTTAGGTGCATTTATTATTGATGTTGATTTTTTCCCTTTTTTACAGCTGTTTTTGCTTTGATTTATGTCATTGTTTGTATTTTTGCACATTAGACAGTGCTTATTTGAAATATTGAAGCTTTAATATTAAAATGTGCTATTTTTCTGTTTTTCAGCACTGTAGAACTGGCAAGAACATGCATAGGAACACCATATTACCTGTCACCAGAGATCTGTGAAAATAAACCATACAATAACAAAAGGTACTTGGACTTCTGGAATATCGTACATTGGTGTCTAGTTGTCAAGCAAATTCAATAGTAATCAATGGGACAAGGTGTCTCCCCACTGAATCTTGAGTCTGCAGGATTAGGTGGTGGCTACAGTGTAATGTAAGGAGATCACCTCGCCTTTTTATTGAGTAAACTTGCTCGCTTACATCTACAGCAGGAAGCTGGTATTGATTTTTCTCCTTAACTATTTTAAGTGTACATGCAATTTAACCCACTTTAGTTACAATGAGTGAAGTAAATTTAGCTCAGTCTAAATGATCTGGAGTTTTCTTGTCAATAAAGTCTTATTTTCATCTCAGTTTATAAAAGGAAAGTAAAGGGCATGCACTTGACTGTTGATACCTTATTGAATGAATAATAAACTTAACCCAGAACTTATCCCTGCCCACCCATTTGTATGTTCTCGCCTCTCATTTTCCTTGCTTTTCCTTCCTGCTGCAGTGATATTTGGGCCCTAGGGTGTGTTCTGTATGAAATGTGCACTCTTAAGCATGCAGTAAGTATTCTGTGTGAGCTGTTTAATTATAATTATACAGTATTTTAAGGTGTTTTATGCAGCATTTACTGTTCTCTCACATACTAATTTTGATCTCTTCCCTGTATATTCTATATGTATAACTGTAGTTAGATAATGTACTGTTAGATAATACACTGAAATTAATTTCCAGTATATTAATTCCTAATTTAATCTGTAATCCAGTACAGTCCCCACATTAAGAATCCCTATATAGTTCAATTGTCTTCAGTAATTTCTATGCAGTGGTTACAGCTGTGTGAGCCTTTGCATTTGTTTATTCTCAGTTTGAGGCTGGCAACATGAAGAACTTGGTTCTTAAGATAATTCGTGGGTCGTACCCTCCTGTGTCTTGTCACTACTCCCAAGAACTGCGATCTCTCCTTGCACAGCTGTTTAAACGCGACCCTCGAGAGCGACCCTCTGTCACGGTCCTGGGTCTTATGACCCAGTGTTTTGAGTTTCAGTTCTTTTGATGTTCATAGTGTATGTTTAAGCTTATCAGGTTTCCTAAGTTTATTTGTTATCATGCCTAAGTGTTTCTAGTTCTTATTATTTCCCCCTCGTGTTCCAACTATGTTAAATCTCCCTTGCCCTTCGTGTGTTTCATGTCTGTTGTCTTATGTTGTTATGTCTGCCTCTCATGTTCCTGTTTCATTTTGGAGAGATCTCGTGTTTTTATATTATGGATTATGTTTTGAGTCCTTTGTGGTACTGTTTCGTGTTTCCCTAGATCTCAGTTATGGTTATCTTAGGTTTTGCTCTTTGGCTTCGTCATATGGCTTCCCTGTGTTCCATGTTATGTCCACTGTGATGGTTTTGTACCATATTTCAGGTTCCTATATTCTGTCTCCCCAGTTGCTGTTAAGTTTGCATGTTTAGAATTCAGTCAGTGTGTTTCCTGTTTTACTTTGAAGGTCCATGTCTCATGTGAGTGTTTCTAGTTTTGCTTCCCTTGCCTCGTCCTGCTTTATTACCCTCAGCTGTTCCTCCATGTCACCAGAGATCTGTGAAAATAAACCATACAATAACAAAAGGTACTTGGACTTCTGGAATATCGTACATTGGTGTCTAGTTGTCAAGCAAATTCAATAGTAATCAATGGGACAAGGTGTCTCCCCACTGAATCTTGAGTCTGCAGGATTAGGTGGTGGCTACAGTGTAATGTAAGGAGATCACCTCGCCTTTTTATTGAGTAAACTTGCTCGCTTACATCTACAGCAGGAAGCTGGTATTGATTTTTCTCCTTAACTATTTTAAGTGTACATGCAATTTAACCCACTTTAGTTACAATGAGTGAAGTAAATTTAGCTCAGTCTAAATGATCTGGAGTTTTCTTGTCAATAAAGTCTTATTTTCATCTCAGTTTATAAAAGGAAAGTAAAGGGCATGCACTTGACTGTTGATACCTTATTGAATGAATAATAAACTTAACCCAGAACTTATCCCTGCCCACCCATTTGTATGTTCTCGCCTCTCATTTTCCTTGCTTTTCCTTCCTGCTGCAGTGATATTTGGGCCCTAGGGTGTGTTCTGTATGAAATGTGCACTCTTGAGCATGCAGTAAGTATTCTGTGTGAGCTGTTTAATTATAATTATACAGTATTTTAAGGTGTTTTATGCAGCATTTACTGTTCTCTCACATACTAATTTTGATCTCTTCCCTGTATATTCTATATGTATAACTGTAGTTAGATAATGTACTGTTAGATAATACACTGAAATTAATTTCCAGTATATTAATTCCTAATTTAATCTGTAATCCAGTACAGTCCCCACATTAAGAATCCCTATATAGTTCAATTGTCTTCAGTAATTTCTATGCAGTGGTTACAGCTGTGTGAGCCTTTGCATTTGTTTATTCTCAGTTTGAGGCTGGCAACATGAAGAACTTGGTTCTTAAGATAATTCGTGGGTCGTACCCTCCTGTGTCTTGTCACTACTCCCAAGAACTGCGATCTCTCCTTGCACAGCTGTTTAAACGCGACCCTCGAGAGCGACCCTCAGTCAACAGCATACTGGACAAACCTTTCCTCTCCTGCAGGATTGAGAAGTTTCTCACACCACAGGTAGACTCTGCAGCTGATTGTTAATTCTTTGGGTTTTTTGGTTTTTTTTGTTTTTTGCAAAAGGAAATAACTTTTACATTTTTAAATAATAAATGGCTCGTTTACTAATTATCTGTTACAATTCAACAACAAATTCTGTAATCATAAATGTCTATCCTAGATTGACGACTTCAAATGACAGTCATTTTAATCCCTGTTATGTGCATTTATGCATAAAGATTTTAGTTTATAAATGTAGCATATCCCATATTTTCAGGGAGCATTTAATTTGCGAGACAATCGAAAAATGCATGCAATAAACACCGATTGAACACTCATTCCTTACTCTGAGTGTGTTGGGTGGTTTTTTTTTCTTTTCTTTTTTTTCTTGGGGGGGTGTCTCTGTGTGATTAGTTTCACTAAAATTATCTCATGGTCTAATGATAGCTTTGGAGTTTTCCGCCAACAGCACGGAGGTGGGCCTTAGTGAATGCTTTAAACGTATGTATTTATGGAGGTGCCTAATTTTCAAGGTTTCCAGCTGCAGCACCCCAGAAGACCTGGCAGACTTGAAAAGTCACCTTGGGGACTGGATTGCAGGCTGTGGTATCCCTGACATCTACACTGCCACACTACTTGATGTTAAGAGGATAAGGGGCGAGATCCGAGGTCCCAGATGGAGCCAGAAAGCCTGCAGACAAGAAACCAGCTGGAAAACACAAACCGGTTAGTAGGCTGTTATTGTTGATGACAAGCTGGTATGACCGAGGATAAGGGGCGAGATTGTATCTCATTTTGCGTTTCACAGGTGAGAATTTGTTAGAAAATTACAAAGTACTTTCCTGGTCAGTGCTCGTCTTCCCATTGTGTTCCCCCCTAATAGTTAACACTTAAACAAATCATCAATCTGCTGAGTTTATATCTGTATTGCAGTTAAGGTGGTGTTTAAATTGACAAAACTTTTTTTTTTTGTTTCACAATTTTGCTATGTTGTATGAATTGAGAGTACAATCTGTGGTCAACAGGGTTGCCAGCATGATTCAGCAGTTTGTTGCCGGTATGGACTCGTGTGGTCGGTTCTGGCAAATGGTGAAGAGATGCTGGAAGCAGTTCCTTCCTGTATTTACAAATGCAGGAAATAAACTTACAAGGAACAGCTTCCAGGATCTCTTCACCATTGGATGGAGTCCAGCTGGAAGTAACAGACGTGAAGAAGAGGAAGCAACCATCTTTCAGTGGGAATGGTGCCTTATGGCCATTCAGGGTGAGTACATAGAATACAACACATGTCTTGTTTCTGTTTGAATTGCTTCAGGCATTTCATGTTAAATACAGTGTCCACAATACAAAATACAGACAACTAAATCGAAACAACACTTGGGTGCAATAAAACCTTAGAACTTTGCAAAATCCACCCCTTCTTAGAGCATATGAGGAAGTTTTTGATTATTTTACCTTTTTAGGTGAGGTATTTGAAAGGAAACCACCTACAACAAATATTTTTGGAAGATTATTTCTTTTATCCTCTGTCATCTCTACCAGATCTTGCTTGTTTAGACTGATAGATAGGATGTAATTTGATTTTCATTGTGATTTCTGGTAAAACATTAATTTTATTACATGACCCAAAACTTCTAACACTAAAATATTAAATAGTTATATTACATACTTGTATTTAAAATATGGTAAAATTTATGATTCAATTGTATTAGCACATCTGAGAATTAAGTAAATGGTAAATGGCCTGTATTTGTATAGCGCTTTACTAAAGCAGTCATCCACACATTCACACACTGGTGATGGCAGCTACATTGTAGCCACAGCCACACTGACAGAGGCGAGGCTGCCGGACACTGGCGCCACCGGGCCCTCTGACCACCACCAGTAGGCAACGGGTGAAGTGTCTCGCCCAAGGACACAACAACCGAGAGTGTCCGAGCCGGGGCTCGAACCGGCAACCTTCCGATTACAAGACGAACTCCCAACTCTTGAGCCACGATCACCCCCAGTGTTTTTGCAGTGTTTAAGATAGAATAACACAATTTGAAACCTGTCTCCCTTTGAGACAAAGGTCATTTGTTAATTAGATGCACTGCCTAACTAGAACCTTCAGGTATTACGTTGACTATAACGAAACCTCCTGTATATTAGTGTCTTAGAGTAATCGAGTGGTGCAATGACAACACCCACGCAAATGTGACATCACTAGAAAGCCAATGTACTCTTGCAAGGACAGAATGAATAACTTCTAAAAAAAAAAATACACATTGCATAAACAGTCCTTGACATATAGGTCTGACTCGGAGGACAAAATTAATTTCCTGTCTTAGCAGGGCAGGATTGCTTTGAGTAATTTTTTATTTTTATTTTTTTAATGCAATGCTTTGCAATAATTGTTTTGCCTAACAACAATAATCTGCTCATTTCTTTTTGATTTTTATTATGATGTGAAAATACACTGTGTGTGTGTGGTGCGGTGCGCACATTGGCTGACTAAAATACAAATTTTGTTAGTTTTTGAGTTTTTCTTCTAAATTACTTCTGGATATCTCATCATATCAGCCTCAGCCCAGAAGATTACAAAACCAGCCGCCAAATACGGAGTGCCTTTAACTGTGAGGAAGGTCCCAGATGGAGCCAGAAAGCCTGCAGACAAGAAACCAGCTGGAAAACACAAACCGGTTAGTAACTATTAGGAACAGGAATTCCTGTTTTTTTCCAGTTCTGAGGAAGAGTATGGAATAGCTTTGCTCGTAAGTGTTCTCAAATACCAAAATGATGAAGTGTACCTTTTACAAATGTCAACCACTTTCTAAGACAGAGTGTTCTTTTATGAAGCTGGTGACTTTAACAGTTAAAACATTGTCCTGGTAGTACAGAGGTCCGTTATCAAGTATACATTTTTAACATTTTGCAGCAAGACAGACGCCAGATCTATGTTAGCGTTGCAGTTGGTAGGATTAGACACGTAACACGTAATACTATGTTTATATATACGTGATACGTATATGTAAACATAGTGGCTGTATGCCAGAGTGTCAAATCATCAGTGTTGTAACCGAGCTGGGGTTAGTGAAGCACACCCTTCGTGCATTAGCTGTTGCAGCTAAATGAGCTTACCTGGCTTGTCTTGTTAAGACACTTCTTATTAACTTAGTATAAAAAAGAAGAATAAGTGTATGTGTATTGCACACTGTTATTATTAGTGATGGGATTTCCGGCTCTTTTTAGAGATCCGGCTCTTTCGGCTCCGAACCGGCTCTTCAGGTTGTTTTGTTGCTTTAATTAATTTATTATTAACAATAATGTAAAATTATGCACAAAAGGAATTACTAACGTTAAAAAAAAGTGTTTTTATTTATATATGTTTATATATAAATATATGCGGTGGCCCCTAGAGACAAAACACGTACAAACTCCAAAACACATTTCTAGCATGAACTGAACTTCCAAAGCAGAGCTACTAGATCACTTAAATTACACAATTGAAAGCATGTGTGTATTGTTTGTGTATTTATACACAGGCACTCATATATATTCAAATAATTTAAAAAAAAGTTCATTTACCTGTTATTACCACACACCAAATCCGGTCGTTGGTACTTGCTGGCTTGTGTAGCCACTAGGTAACAAAAGCTCAACACTGCGCCCGGCATCCTGGAGCACTTCTGTTGTCTTTTGTACGTGCTTCGGAGTTTGTACGTGCTTCAGAGTTTGTACGTGCTTCAGAGTTTGTACGTGTTTCAGAGTTTTTACGTGTTTCAGAGTTTGTACGTGTTTTGGAGTTTGTACGTGTTTTTACGTGTTTTGGAGTTTGTACATGCTTCAGAGTTCGTACGTGATTTGAAGTTTGTATGTGCTTTGTCTCTAGGGGCCACCGTAAATATACTTTTATTTATTCACTCCACATAAAATGTAATAAATAAATCATATAATACAAAAATCAACTATTCACATTTCAAGTTTTAACTATTTAAATTTTCAGCTTTTTCCTTTTACAAATTTAAAGTGAAAAGAACACAAAACACTGCAAACCACAACACAATTAAATATAAATTATAATATGAAAACAAACAGAAGATGCACATTCTCTGTCATATGGACCTGCATGAATAAACTTTCTGAATCCTTTATCATCTGCAACCGAAAATAGTTGTGGATGATTACTATATCTTTCTTATGTTGTTGTCCCTGCCTCTCTTTCTCTCTCTCTGTCTCTGTTCCTGTGCTACTGAGTGTAACTACCGCCCCTCCCCCCTCTGCCCAGCGTAAAGCACAAGGCTCGCGTGCAGAGTGAAGCGGGAAAAAAGTGCGAGAGAGAGGCTGAGAGAAAGAAAAAAAAAAAAAAAACCCCCCACGTGACGGCTCGCGATAAGGAGCCGGCTCGCGTCGTTCACGTCAAAGACCCGGCTCTAAGAGCCATTTCGTTCGCGAACGACCCATCACTAGTTATTATTGCACATTAATTATTATTGCACCTTGTTATAAATATAAATATTATTGTTATCGTTTTAAACATTGTTACCTCCCCCCTAAAAAGTCCAGGGAGATATCCAGTCAGGTCAGCTATTTACACTGATCAGGGCTATTGCCCTGTTGTAAAAGCTGTCCTTGAGTCTATTTGTTCGGGACCTCAGCAGCCTGAACCTCCTGCCAGACGGCAGCAGCTTAAACACCCGGTGTCCTGGGTGTGTGCAGTCCCGTAGGATGCTGCGTGCCCTCTTGAGACAGCGAGTGCTGTACAGGTCCTTCAGGGAGGGAAGAGGATGTCCAATGATTTTTTGGGCCATGTTGATGACCCTCTGGAGTGCCTCTCTGTGTGCTGTGGTGCAGCTGTAGAACCACACACCGATGCAGTACGTCAGCACACTTTCAATGGAGCAGCGGTAGAAGACGGTCAGCAGCTCCTTCTTCAGGTCCATTTTTCTGAGGATTCTCAGAAAGTGGAGACGCTGTTGGGCCTTCTTTAAGACCGCAGAGGTGTTAGAGCTCCATTGGAGGTCTGTGTCTATGTGCACACCCAGAAACTTGAAACTGGAGACCCTTTCCACGCACTCCCCGTTGATGCTGACAGGCTGCAGCTCGGACTTCCTCCTTCTGAAGTCAACTACCAGTTCTTTTGTTTTGGTGGTATTGAGGTCCAGGTTGTTATCTGCACACCAATCTGACAGCCTCTGAACTTCAGCTCTGTATGCACTCTCATCTCCCCCTGAGATGAGCCCCACCACGGTGGTATCATCTGCAAACTTGATGACTGTGTTGTCTGGGTGGGAACTAACACAGTCATGTGTGTACAGAGTGTACAGTAGGGGACTCAGTACACAGCCTTGTGGAGAGCCGATGTTGAGGCTGAGGGCTGAGGAAAGATGAGGCCCCACTCTAACTCTCTGTACACGGTCTGAGAGGAAGTCTCTGATCCAGCGGCAGGTGGTGGAAGGAAGTCCAATTTCCAGCAGTTTAACTATTAGTCTGTCCGGGAGTATTGAAAGCAGAGCTAAAGTCAACAAAGAGCAGCCTGGCGTAACGGCCCTGCACTTCCAGGTGAGAGATGGTGGTGTGGAGCGTTGTAGCAATGGCATCTTCAGTTGATCTGTTAGCTCTGTATGCAAACTGGAGCAGGTCGAGTGTGGGTGGCAAGCAGGACATGATGTGACGTCGGACCAGTTTCTCGAAGCACTTCATTATAACAGGTGTTAGAGCAACTGGTCGGTAGTCGTTGAGGCTGCTAATGTTAGTACGCTTTGGCAGTGGGACAATTGTGGCTGACTTTAGGCACGGCGGGATGCAGGACTGGGACAGTGAAGTGTTGAAGATCTTAGTGAAGACCCCAGCCAGCTGGTCTGCACAATCTTTTAGGACCTTTGCGGTTACCCCATCTGGTCCGGTGGCCTTCCTGGGGTTCACTGCCCTCAGTGTGCGCCTCACCTCATATTCCTGCACTATGAGGCTTGGGCTGCTGCTGTCCGATGTTTTTGCTGCTGCTGCCTCTGGTCCCTTCACCTCAAAGCGTGCGAAGAAGTGGTTCAGCTCCTCCGCAAGCTCCGCGTTACCCTCAGTCAACGTGGTATTGCCAGGTTTGTAGTTGGTTAAGTGCTGAACTCCCTGCCATACCTGTCGTGAGTTTTTGGTGCTGAAGTGGTCTTCGATCCTTCTCTTGTACGCTGCCTTGGCCTCTCTGATGCCTCTTTTCAACTCAGATCTGGCTGCACTGTACTGCATACCATCACCGGATCTAAAAGCGGTGTCACGTTGCTTCAGCAGGACCTGGACCTCTTTAGTCATCCAGGGTTTCTGGTTGGAATACACCCGGAGACGTTTGTCCACAGTGACACTGTTGACACAGAAGTTAATATATGAGAGCACTGATGTTGTGTGCTCTTCAAGGTCCTGATGTTCGAACACGCTCCAGTCCGTGTTTTCAAAACAGTCCTGCAGCTGATGTGATGCACCTTCTGGCCAGGGGGCTCTTCTCCTAATGGGAGTGTATGCAGGGATCAACAGCATGGACATGTGGTCTGACAAACCTAGATGTGGTAGAGGGGTTGCTCTGTAGCCTTTTTGGATGTTGCTGCAGGCTTTATCCAATGTGTTTTCCCCCCTCGTTGCACATTTAATATGCTGTTTAAATCTGGGGAATACTGACCTTAAATCAGCATGGTTGAAGTCCCCAGCTATAATGTGCACTGCGTTTGGATGGGAGTTCTGCTGGTTGCTTATTGTCTTGTGCAGCTCCTCCATGGCAGAGTTAGGTATTAGGAGGATAGTGTGTTTCTAAATTTAGCGAAGCTCTGTGGTTTAGATACATAATATGAAAATACTAAATGAAGTACCTAAAAAATAAATACATTTTAACTAAATTAATCGCCAAACGTTACACGTTCTCCATGCTTCTCAGTTGGTTTGCGGTTGCTATGGAAAATGTCCACAGCAACGGTGTCATTGGGGGCGGAGACTGGTAAGCGTCATCCACAATAAAAGATGATGGACAGTCGTGTCCACCAATTAATGTTCGGTCTTGGTACATCTGACCAATGAAAACGTACAAAAAATGTAGCCGTAGTTAGAGAGTGCGAGGACAGTATCAAGTACCCAAACCTTTATGAGAAAGGCAGCGAGAAAAGACTAATGGTAAGGCACACAGAAACGTATACGGCTACACAGTGAGCCGGTGATATTATATCAGTTAGAGTTTTGTACATTCACAAGGTAAATATTTTATGAAGCTCCCATCTTCTTCTAGCTTCTAAGTAACGGGAACGCTAGCTGTTTTGCTACCAGCTGTGTTGTGTCTTGCATCTCAGCATCACAGTCCGTCTCTTTCTGTCTGACAGCGGTCCACAATGGAGCTAACATTACATTTCCCGGACGACGCACAATTGTCATTATTAAGACTACCAAATGTTTGCCTTTTATAAAGCTTCTGTCACGGAACCCTCGATTAAAGCCTAGTTACACCGAGCAATAGCATTAGCATGTTCTTGATGTCTTTGTAGATCCAGCATGTGGAGCCAGTCATTCCAATAACATGGACAAGTACGAAAAGGTGAAGAAAATTGGGGAAGGTTCATTTGGAAAGGCTATCCTGGTCAAATCCAAAGATCATGGACACCAATATGTCATTAAGGAGATTGGCATATCTGGAGTAAGCTTCTGTGCATATCTTTTACACAAGCTGTCATGGTCCTGGGCCATGTGGGCCCAGTATTCTTAGCTTTCATGTATTTTTGTATTTTGTTCTTTATTTAGGCCATGCTTCCTGGGTTGATCTGTTACGTTGTTCCTTATGTGTTTTCCCTTCGTGACTCTTACCCCCTGTGTGCCCCTCTGTGTATTTATGAGCCCTCGTCTCTCTTTGTGCTTTATTCTATGTTTTCCCCAGCCCGTTATGTCTGCGTTCTCCCCGTGCTCTCTCTCCTCCTGTTTGAACCTCTGTGTACTTCCTGCTTTATTTTGCCCATCTCCCATCAGTGTTACGTTCACTCCTGCCGTGTCTTGTTATGATTATCAGTGTCACCTGTGTTCCCCGTGTGCATCCACTTCCCCTGATCATCCCTCATGTGTATTTAGTCTCTGTGTTTCGTACAGTCTGTGTCGCGTCGTCTGTGTTCCCACCCTCCGTGTTTCCATGCCCGGTCTATTGTATTCCAAGTCATAGCCTTACCTTAGTTTATTCCCAGTTTAGGTTTCTGTTTAGTTATTGCTCTTGTGCTGCCCTTATTCTGGTTTGCTTCTTTTGTATTCATCAGCCACAATAAAAGGTTCGCTTTTTGTTTAAGTTCACTTCCGTGTCACTCGTGTCTGCACCTGAGTCCTCCACGCACTCTCCACACGGTCTGTCACAGCGGACCGTGACACAAGCTTGGCATGTTCTTTTCAGCGTGCGCTTCATCTCGTTACCCTCCTCTTCATTACTTTGACAGATGTCCAGCAAAGAGAGGCAGGAATCTCGGAAGGAAGTTGCTGTTCTTGCCAACATGAGTCATCCAAACATCGTCCAGTATAAGGAATCTTTTGAAGGTATTAATGCCATTCAAATAGCTCATCTGTTTATGTGAAGAAACTATTATCAAATGTGCACTGTGTGATAACTACATACTATAAGTTTTTTTTATTTTATTTGTATTTTTTTCCCAGAGGGTGGCTGCCTGTATATTGTGATGGACTACTGCGAGGGTGGAGACCTATTCAAAAAGATCAACTCTCAGAAAGGGGTACTGTTCTCAGAAGCGCAAGTAAGCCAGCAACTACTCAAGGCAGTCACTGTGCAAACAGTATACAGATATTTGGTTAAACTGATCACAATACATATGGTTTACTGTAGTCTCCCTTTTTGAGATCCTAGATTGGTTTGTGCAGATCTGCCTAGCGCTCAAGCATGTGCACGATCGAAAAATTCTCCACAGAGACATAAAATCACAGGTATTGTTTCATAAATCACAAGATTCCCTTTAAGTGATAAGTTGTTTGTTTGCATGTATTGGATTATTTACATGTGTTCTCATAATGCTTGTGTAGAACATCTTTTTGACAAAAGATGGAACAGTTCAGCTTGGAGACTTTGGAATTGCAAGGGTGCTGAACAGGTATGCACACTGTTGTCTAAATAGCCCTGCAGTTTTTCATTAAGCATAGATTCCAGACTAAAAGTTGAAGAACACTTTGCATTTCTGGTAATAAGACATTCTGTTTTACTATATTTAAAAAATATTATAGTTTATTTTGTTGAAGTTTGTTATTTGTACACTTTTTAACTGTTCTTACACAGAAATATATTTTGGTTAAATCAAATATGTCTGATCTTATAATGTATTACGTGTTTTATGTATTTATACATTATGTTCTGAGGTTCTTAGGTGCATTTATTATTGATGTTGATTTTTTCCCTTTTTTACAGCTGTTTTTGCTTTGATTTATGTCATTGTTTGTATTTTTGCACATTAGACAGTGCTTATTTGAAATATTGAAGCTTTAATATTAAAATGTGCTATTTTTCTGTTTTTCAGCACTGTAGAACTGGCAAGAACATGCATAGGAACACCATATTACCTGTCACCAGAGATCTGTGAAAATAAACCATACAATAACAAAAGGTACTTGGACTTCTGGAATATCGTACATTGGTGTCTAGTTGTCAAGCAAATTCAATAGTAATCAATGGGACAAGGTGTCTCCCCACTGAATCTTGAGTCTGCAGGATTAGGTGGTGGCTACAGTGTAATGTAAGGAGATCACCTCGCCTTTTTATTGAGTAAACTTGCTCGCTTACATCTACAGCAGGAAGCTGGTATTGATTTTTCTCCTTAACTATTTTAAGTGTACATGCAATTTAACCCACTTTAGTTACAATGAGTGAAGTAAATTTAGCTCAGTCTAAATGATCTGGAGTTTTCTTGTCAATAAAGTCTTATTTTCATCTCAGTTTATAAAAGGAAAGTAAAGGGCATGCACTTGACTGTTGATACCTTATTGAATGAATAATAAACTTAACCCAGAACTTATCCCTGCCCACCCATTTGTATGTTCTCGCCTCTCATTTTCCTTGCTTTTCCTTCCTGCTGCAGTGATATTTGGGCCCTAGGGTGTGTTCTGTATGAAATGTGCACTCTTAAGCATGCAGTAAGTATTCTGTGTGAGCTGTTTAATTATAATTATACAGTATTTTAAGGTGTTTTATGCAGCATTTACTGTTCTCTCACATACTAATTTTGATCTCTTCCCTGTATATTCTATATGTATAACTGTAGTTAGATAATGTACTGTTAGATAATACACTGAAATTAATTTCCAGTATATTAATTCCTAATTTAATCTGTAATCCAGTACAGTCCCCACATTAAGAATCCCTATATAGTTCAATTGTCTTCAGTAATTTCTATGCAGTGGTTACAGCTGTGTGAGCCTTTGCATTTGTTTATTCTCAGTTTGAGGCTGGCAACATGAAGAACTTGGTTCTTAAGATAATTCGTGGGTCGTACCCTCCTGTGTCTTGTCACTACTCCCAAGAACTGCGATCTCTCCTTGCACAGCTGTTTAAACGCGACCCTCGAGAGCGACCCTCAGTCAACAGCATACTGGACAAACCTTTCCTCTCCTGCAGGATTGAGAAGTTTCTCACACCACAGGTAGACTCTGCAGCTGATTGTTAATTCTTTGGGTTTTTGTTTTTTTTTGTTTTTTGCAAAAGGAAATAACTTTTACATTTTTAAATAATAAATGGCTCGTTTACTAATTATCTGTTACAATTCAACAACAAATTCTGTAATCATAAATGTCTATCCTAGATTGACGACTTCAAATGACAGTCATTTTAATCCCTGTTATGTGCATTTATGCATAAAGATTTTAGTTTATAAATGTAGCATATCCCATATTTTCAGGGAGCATTTAATTTGCGAGACAATCGAAAAATGCATGCAATAAACACCGATTGAACACTCATTCCTTACTCTGAGTGTGTTGGGTGGTTTTTTTTTCTTTTCTTTTTTTTCTTGGGGGGGTGTCTCTGTGTGATTAGTTTCACTAAAATTATCTCATGGTCTAATGATAGCTTTGGAGTTTTCCGCCAACAGCACGGAGGTGGGCCTTAGTGAATGCTTTAAACGTATGTATTTATGGAGGTGCCTAATTTTCAAGGTTTCCAGCTGCAGCACCCCAGAAGACCTGGCAGACTTGAAAAGTCACCTTGGGGACTGGATTGCAGGCTGTGGTATCCCTGACATCTACACTGCCACACTACTTGATGTTAAGAGGATAAGGGGCGAGATCCGAGGTCCCAGATGGAGCCAGAAAGCCTGCAGACAAAAAACCAGCTGGAAAACACAAACCGGTTAGTAGGCTGTTATTGTTGATGACAAGCTGGTATGACCGAGGATAAGGGGCGAGATTGTATCTCATTTTGCGTTTCACAGGTGAGAATTTGTTAGAAAATTACAAAGTACTTTCCTGGTCAGTGCTCGTCTTCCCATTGTGTTCCCCCCTAATAGTTAACACTTAAACAAATCATCAATCTGCTGAGTTTATATCTGTATTGCAGTTAAGGTGGTGTTTAAATTGACAAAACTTTTTGTTTTGTTTCACAATTTTGCTATGTTGTATGAATTGAGAGTACAATCTGTGGTCAACAGGGTTGCCAGCATGATTCAGCAGTTTGTTGCCGGTATGGACTCATGTGGTCGGTTCTGGCAAATGGTGAAGAGATGCTGGAAGCAGTTCCTTCCTGTATTTACAAATGCAGGAAATAAACTTACAAGGAACAGCTTCCAGGATCTCTTCACCATTGGATGGAGTCCAGCTGGAAGTAACAGACGTGAAGAAGAGGAAGCAACCATCTTTCAGTGGGAATGGTGGCTTATGGCCATTCAGGGTGAGTACATAGAATACAACACATGTCTTGTTTCTGTTTGAATTGCTTCAGGCATTTCATGTTAAATACAGTGTCCACAATACAAAATACAGACAACTAAATCGAAACAACACTTGGGTGCAATAAAACCTTAGAACTTTGCAAAATCCACCCCTTCTTAGAGCATATGAGGAAGTTTTTGATTATTTTACCTTTTTAGGTGAGGTATTTGAAAGGAAACCACCTACAACAAATATTTTTGGAAGATTATTTCTTTTATCCTCTGTCATCTCTACCAGATCTTGCTTGTTTAGACTGATAGATAGGATGTAATTTGATTTTCATTGTGATTTCTGGTAAAACATTAATTTTATTACATGACCCAAAACTTCTAACACTAAAATATTAAATAGTTATATTACATACTTGTATTTAAAATATGGTAAAATTTATGATTCAATTGTATTAGCACATCTGAGAATTAAGTAAATGGTAAATGGCCTGTATTTGTATAGCGCTTTACTAAAGCAGTCATCCACACATTCACACACTGGTGATGGCAGCTACATTGTAGCCACAGCCACACTGACAGAGGCGAGGCTGCCGGACACTGGCGCCACAAGGCCCTCTGACCACCACCAGTAGGCAACGGGTGAAGTGTCTCGCCCAAGGACACAACGACCGAGAGTGTCCGAGCCGGGGCTCGAACCGGCAACCTTCCGATTACAAGACGAACTCCCAACTCTTGAGCCACGATCACCCCCAGTGTTTTTGCAGTGTTTAAGATAGAATAACACAATTTGAAACTTGTCTCCCTTTGAGACAAAGGTCATTTGTTAATTAGATGCACTGCCTAACTACAAGAACCTTCAGGTATTACATTGACTATAACGAAACCTCCTGTATATTAGTGTCTTAGAGTAATCGAGTGGTGCAATGACAACACCCACGCAAATGTGACATCACTAGAAAGCCAATGTACTCTTGCAAGGACAGAATGAATAACTTCTAAAAAAAAAATACACATTGCATAAACAGTCCTTGACATAGGTCTGACTCGGAGGACAAAATTAATTTCCTGTCTTAGCAGGGCAGGATTGCTTTGAGTAATTATTATTTTATTTTTTTTATAATACAATGCTTTGCAATAATTGTTTTGCCTAACAACAATAATCTGCTCATTTCTTTTTGATTTTTATTATGATGTGAAAATACACTGTGTGTGTGTGGTGCGGTGCGCACATTGGCTGACTAAAATACAAATTTTGTTAGTTTTTGAGTCTTTCTTCTAAATTACTTCTGGATATCTCATAATATCAGCCTCAGCCCAGAAGATTACAAAACCAGCCGCCAAATACGGAGTGCCTTTAACTGTGAGGAAGGTCCCAGATGGAGCCAGAAAGCCTGCAGACAAGAAACCAGCTGGAAAACACAAACCGGTTAGTAACTATTAGGAACAGGAATTCCTGTTTTTTTCCAGTTCTGAGGAAGAGTATGGAATAGCTTTGCTCGTAAGTGTTCTCAAATACCAAAATGATGAAGTGTACCTTTTACAAATGTCAACCACTTTCTAAGACAGAGTGTTCTTTTATGAAGCTGGTGACTTTAACAGTTAAAACATTGTCCTGGTAGTACAGAGGTCCGTTATCAAGTATACATTTTTAACATTTTGCAGCAAGACAGACGCCAGATCTATGTTAGCGTTGCAGTTGGTAGGATTAGACACGTAACACGTAATACTATGTTTATATATACGTGATACGTATATGTAAACATAGTGGCTGTATGCCAGAGTGTCAAATCATCAGTGTTGTAACCGAGCTGGGGTTAGTGAAGCACACCCTTCGTGCATTAGCTGTTGCAGCTAAATGAGCTTACCTGGCTTGTCTTGTTAAAACACTTCTTATTAATATATGCACCACCCTTTGCGAGAACATTAGGAACTCCAATGTGGCACTTAAAGCACGTTATATAAGCTATCTTGCAAGTTAGTTAGGCTAGTAAACAGAAAAAGCTTTTAGCTGCGGAGACGAGTGGCTATAAAACTTTATTAGGTTCAGTCGGATAGGGTTCCACGCTGCTGGAAACGTGAATACTATCACGTAACGCTGACCACAGATCAACCAAAGGGTCTCAGTGTGGTCGTCAGACAGTCATCCGACAGTTCATCTCCTTCGACTGACTCAATTATTGCTGCTATTACGCTAGCTAGCTAGCTAGCATGCTAGCAGGTGTTCGCTTCACCTTCAGACACCAACCTCCAAAAAATTGTTCGTAAATCTGCAAAATAAGGAACGACAGTTAGTTGTACACACCTTTTCGCAGTACAGGCCCACCAGCTGCTTCATTCGCCAGTGTGGGCCAGTAAAAACATCCACCTCGTCCGGAAAAGGAGCCATGTTCACTGGACCTCACTGCGTCATCTGCTCACAGCCTTCGATACAATCAAACAAGGAGGCGTGAGCGAGCCGCCCGCGTCACCGCGGCTTGTAAATCCAGTAAATGTGTTTAGGAATTTAGTCTAAATTTAAAAAAAAAAAAAATTGAATAAAATAAAACAGAATTTTACATTGAGATATGTATTTTTTGTTGCTTAATCGTTTGCGATATTACATTTTTTTGAAAGACGAATACCTTTGTGAATTTCATTTTGCTGCGTTTAAACAGCCAAATTCCGAAATATATAGTATGCCAGTATGCTATACCTATTTAAATATACAGTATACTTTATATATGACTTTCAGGTTTTTGTCAGGTTTTTATGTGGCAGAGCCCACATAAAGTACGGAAGACCTAAACCTAAAATAAGACTGAAATAAATTAATCACTAAATAAACAATGTTACTAAATGCTGTGAAAATAAGATTAAATTGGGGAAATTATTTCATTAAATGTCTGACCCACCATCCAAAGAGAACGACTACTGCAATTGCTGCAGGAGCACTAAACTAGTGTTTACCAAACAATTAAATTAAGTTCACACTGCAATAACTTATCCACCATGGTGGGTGTTTATGTTTTTCATTACCAAACTGTAATAATTGATTTAAGATATATTTGAAGTCAATAACAATGGAATCAATAAACCTTGAAGCCTAGCCATAATGAACACTTTTAAAAGTAAATAAAAAAATGGAGAATTTTATTAATATTTTATAAATAAATAAGTAGACAATTAGATAATAAATACAGAAGCAACTTCTATATAATTTATAATTTGAATCAATACTGTGGTCTTTCAGTTTGACAGTTACGGTATTCCATACAGGTAAGATAAGATAAGATAAGATAAGATAACTCTTTATTGTCATTGCACAGTCATACATAGTACAGTAGTACAATGAAATTGGAAAAACTGTCCTACGTCGGCACTACATATAACACAACACGATATGACACATCACAACGCAACAAACAACACAACACAGTATATTAACTTAGTATAAAAAAGAAGAATAAGTGTATGTGTATTGCACACTGTTATTATTAGTGATGGGATTTCCGGCTCTTTTTAGAGATCCGGCTCTTTCGGCTCCGAACCGGCTCTTCAGGTTGTTTTGTTGCTTTAATTAATTTATTATTAACAATAATATAAAATTATGCACAAAAGGAATTACTAACGTAAAAAAAAGTGGTTTTATTTATATGTTTATATATAAATATATGCGGTGGCCCCTAGAGACAAAACACGTACAAACTCCAAAACACATTTCTAGCATGAACTGAACTTCCAAAGCAGAGCTACTAGATCACTTAAATTACACAATTGAAAGCATGTGTGTATTGTTTGTGTATTTATACACAGGCACTCATATATATTCAAATAATTTAAAAAAAAGCTCATTTACCTGTTATTACCACACACCAAATCCGGTCGTTGGTACTTGCTGGCTTGTGTAGCCACAAGATAACAAAGGCTCAACACTGCGCCCGGCATCCTGGAGCACTTCTGTTGTCTTTTGTACGTGTTTTGAGTTTTTATGTGCTTCTGAGTTTTTATATGCTTCTGAGTTTTTACGTGCTTCGGAGTTTTTACGTGCTTCGTAGTTTTTACGTGCTTCGGAGTTTTTACGTGCTTCGGAGTTTGTACGTGCTTCGGAGTTTGTACATGTTTTTACGTGTTTTGGAGTTTGTACATGCTCCAGAGTTTGTACGTGATTTGAAGTTTGTATGTGCTTTGTCTCTAGGGGCCACCGTAAATATACTTTTATTTATTCACTCCACATAAAATGTAATAAATAAATCATATAATACAAAAATCAACTATTCACATTTCAAGTTTTAACTATTTAAATTTTCAGCTTTTTCCTTTTACAAATTTAAAGTGAAAAGAACACAAAACACTGCAAACCACAACACAATTAAATATAAATTATAATATGAAAACAAACAGAAGATGCACATTCTCTGTCATATGGACCTGCATGAATAAACTTTCTGAATCCTTTATCATCTGCAACCGAAAATAGTTGTGGATGATTACTATACC